TCCTTTCAGACATTCAGCAGATTGGCTAAGTGGGTCAGTCAGGTGGGATTTTGTGACTGAACCCGTCTAAACAAACAGCTGCTGTCTGCACTCACTGTAGCTGTAGTCAGGCCTTGACCGTAAATTAAACTTAGCTGGCTCACCGTTGTTTGCATTAATCTGGCTGTGATACAGCAAACATCTACTTCAGGGTGGCAGTTTGCCAGGAGTCAATAACTTCAGCAAATAACACAACAACATAAAAGTCTGCAAAATAAAATCCCAAACTTTTACAAAACAACAGTGTCTTCTGTGGTTTCTGGTGGCTCTTTGTGAGGGTTAAAATGTCTATGAGATGAGTTGTTAGCAGATCTGCATTTAAGGACTTTCTAATCTGCCTGCTCATACGGTAAAGTCAGTTACTTATGCACTGATGCAGTATTATTATTAATGTCATATCAATTATCATGCTTTTGATACTTCAGGTACATTTTGCTGATAATACTTTTACTTAGTTGTTTTTCATTCTAAACTGTGCCTGCATGTTTGAGCTTCACAGTCCACTAGTTTTGTAGACAAATGTCATGTGGAAATCTGACACTTGCATTGAGAAAGGCCTTTCAGTGAAGCATAAATGGAGACACCTTATATCCAATCGTTAGTTGGTGAGAAAGTTGTAGTATAGAGTACGGGAAGACTCACACACAAAATAAAAACCAAAGAGTTCAGACTACAGTCTTAATTGTCAATATTTTTATTTGATATATGATACAGTAAGGGCGGGTTGCTAGTGGAGGCTTGATTAGACACTCATGCAGGTCAGGTCATTCCAAACACTTTCACAGCATTATCCCATCACATACACATACTGAAGCACTGCAAGCCTCAGCAGGTTTATTGCTCTGATCTTATTTTCCTGTTTTCCACATTATATTTTAAACGTGACCAATATCAGTGTGAGCTGGTGAAAGTCAATTTCAGTGTGAAGTCAACCCAAAGCTGCATCTTGTAAGTTGTAATACATACTGAATGTCTGCAAGTCATTGATAAAATGATTTTTTTTAATTCTTCAATTTAAATGTCGGGCTGCAAGGTGGCGCAGTTGGTAGCACTGTTGCCTCGCAGCAAGAAGGTTGCCGGTTCGTGTCCTGGTGGGGACACCGGAATCTTTCTGTGTGGAGTTTGCATGTTCTCCCCGTGCAGCGTGGGTTCTCTCCGGGTTCTCCGGCTTCCTCCCACAAACCCCAAAAACATGTTGAGGTTAATTGGTGATTCTAAATTGTCCGTAGGTGTGAATGTGAGTGTGCTTGGTTGTCTGTCTCTAAGTGTAGCCCTGTGATAGACTGGTGACCTGTCCAGGGTGTCCCCTGCCTTCACCCTCAGTTGGCTGGGATAGACTCCAGCCCCCCGCAACCCTAGTGAGGATTAAGCGGCGTAAAGATAATGGATGGAATTTAAATGTGCGCTCAATAGAGTACAATTTAAAGTTTGTCAAATATAAATTCTGATTTTACAATCTCCTTTTAGTTAGTTTTTTGTTTTTTTGAATAAGAGAGCAAGTCTGCACATTTGTTTAAGCTCACCTTTTGTTCCAAAATCATCTATACATAACCCCAAAAAGTGTCAGAATTACAGCTAACTTACCACTTTCACAACACACTGTTGACAATAAGGATTACATATATGGCATGCTGTGCATTATGTACATAAGTGGAAGTGAAGCATTCAAAATATACTAATCTTGTTGGTTAAGACAGCAGATTTATGTTTGTATTGTACTGTTTAGTAGTTTGAGCAATTTCAACACATCTCTGACAAAGTTAAAAACATGGATTTGATTACCAATATGTATGTTTTCCTGTTAAAGCGTGAAACTAGAATATGGATCAGTGTGTTTTTATTAACACTTTCAGTATATTATGGGACAACTTAGAAGCAACCTGTATTTTGTGATTGAAAAAAGCCAAATGTATGACTGAGAGGGCAAAACCTCACCTTAACTACTTGCTATGGGACCAATCTACCTGCCTACTAAGTAATATCGTGACTCCAGATCAACGCTTCACACTAAAGACAAACACTGAGAGTTGAGCGGTCAGGGCCAGTTCAGAAACCACAGTCACCTGTTTACATCAGATTCCAGGACTAATGAAGGCTGTCCAGGGGAAGGAAGATAAAACCAGTTGTTTTACATTCTGGTTATCAGGACTCCAGTACTGCCGCTTTTCATTCCAGTTTAACAGCTGGTGGAAAAACGACATTAAAGGACTCTGCACCTCTGACTGATAATCCAGCTGAGTGCTCACAAAGAAGAATCTTACTGATGAGTGAAGAAACAACAGATGAGAAATAAATGGTGTTACGGCCCCCGGTGCTTGCGTGCTATCTTGCTGTTGTGGACTTTTGCAGCTGGCTCCAGAGTTTGCTCCAAAACCCCAGCGGCCGGTCATTTCAACTGATTATCCTGAAGCCACAGACCTGCACTCCAACCGTGGTTCTCCCCACCTCCCAACCTGCCTGACTGGTCCACAACCCAGTTTCTTCCTCCAACAAGAGTCCAGCAATCATCACACCTGACTATAAGTCTACAACCAACCTCACAGTCAGGGCAGCTGGAGTTTCATGTGAACAGTTCACCTTGGTGCCTCTTGTCCTTGTGTTTTGTGTGTGTTAAGTGTTTACTGTGGCACTAAGGGGTGGTTACTCAGAAATGTAGCCTCTGTTTGCAGCTGTTAAGTTGGTAAGAAGTTACTTGTGTCCTGTGGTTTCTATAGCCCCTGAGGGGTGGTAATTCTCATCTGTAATGTGTATATTGAGGCACCTGTTTTGTTTCGTCAGTTCTGTGAACTCAGCACTTGTTTGAAAGTTACTTTTGCTAGTTGTAGGTGCTGCTATTGTGTTAAAGTTTGGCTGGGAGTTCAGTTGTTCTGTTTCTGTTTAGCTACTTTTTCGGATCTTGTTAGTCTTTATTTAGTTTTATTTGCTTCTTTGAGTTAGCAGCACCCACCAGCTGTTTTCTTTGTATCATCACTGTTTATATTTCTGTTTATTTTGTCACTAAGCAAAAAATTGCTTTACCCAACCAATAACACCTGGTTTTATGAACCAGCTGACCCTAGACAGCTGGTTCATAACAAATGGTTTTCTGGTTACTTTGCTGCTCACACTTGCTTTTTAGTTAGTATTTGGTAGATTCAATGAGAGGAAGAAGAAACAACAGGTTTGTGGTGCAGCAGTTTCAAAATATGTTGGTGTCTCATGTCCAGTCACTTTGTCAGTCAATATCTGCTCACTGAAAGCATCTTTTCCCTTTTTAAAAAGAACTGGAAACTCCTCAGTGATGATCACTATCTGCGTCGCTGTGTGACAGTTCAAAGAGCAAAGGACAGGCACAAGCAAAAGTCCAAAATCTGATTCTTAGAGAGCCAGTGGTCATACAGTCAGTGTGGCAAACAAATCTGAGTAAGAAGGCAAATACAAGGAAAAGGTAAACATCCACAATACAACAAATGAGACCAACACACGAGGACCAAACTGAGATAATAAACAGGAACAAGCAGGAGCTCATCCAGGAGGAATCCACACCTGAAACATGAACACACAAGCAAAACAAACTCAAAATAAGCCTAGCTCAAAGTCAGCCCTCGTTGTGATCGATGCAATATGAGGGTCTTTGACAAGTTTGCACAAGATCTTTAAAGTTCTGTTTCACAATCCCTTTTAATTTATGTTGGTGACAATTTTAAGATCTTTGTTAAAGTCCTACACCATATTAAGCTGCAGCAAGCTATAACACCCTCATCTTCTCTCTATATTTTACAAACAAGGACTGCTGACTGGGGTCCCTGCAGCCCCCAGGAAAAAAAACTAATTTAGGAAACAATCATCATTGCAAAATTTGAAACAGTCTTTCCTAAAAACAATATCAGTAAAAAATAAAATAAAATAAAAAATTAAAGAAAATCTAATTTTTTTTACATAAAATATATTTTGGAATTTATAATGTAGTAGAATTTATATCCTTTTTTTATTAATGAGATTCAAATATTATATTCAAGTGTAATACTGTAAATATATTTTTAAAACTATATTGGATACAGTTGTTGACAACAGGAATTACTTTTTATTTTAGAGATGTTTACTTTATATTTCATGTTTGGTGCCCCAGCTGTCAGATATTACTGGGTTCATTTTACAGTGCAAAAAGTCGTAGCAAACAATGATACAAGGTCATAAGGACCAAAATGATTTACAAAGTGATAGAACAAAGCAGTTATGCACCTCTATGGACTCACTCTTATCTGCCAAGGTTGGCCCCGTTTCAAATAACAGATTTCTGCATTTTGTCCTTGTCCTGTTCTCACTAGTACTCTGTGTACTAGTATAACAGAGTTGTGACATTGTGGAATGGCAGCGCTGCTGTTTTGTTTTGTTTTTTTTTACTTATTTCGTCTTTGCAGTAATCAAACCATCACCACACAGTCTTGATTAGGTTTATGCAGGGTGAGCAAACTAGTCTGAACAAAGTTTGAGTTTGTTCCCAACCTTAATTGTAATTTTTTTTATAGGCATTTCGATGTAAAAGTAGTGTTTCAGAATAAATCTTTGAGATTTGTTTTTCAGACATTTCTTTAACATTGTGTAGCAGAATACCTCAATACATACTGTTACCTATTGTGAGGAAACCTGACTCCAGACTGAGAACCACTGACTTAACTAGAAAAATGAATATTGAATAATGACCCTTTTATTCTCATTGTTTAGCAAGAAACCGTTATAGTTGTTTTAACATCACAATGACAATGATAAAAACAAAGTAAATGCTCAGTCATGTTGGAATCATCAAGCCTGTGTCTCACAAGCATTTTGAAAAAAAACTCTCCATATTTTTACATTATTTAGCAAAAGCAGTATTTATTCATGTACTGGCTTCGATAGGGCAGATACACTGTAATAAATAAATAAATAAATTTTAAAAATCTGGCAACAAGGGTGCCAGAAAAAAAATCATTAAAAACAGTGGAATACTGTAATGTTCAAAAACTGTGCATAAACACACACACACACACACACACACACACACACCTGAAAATAAGGATATTTTAAGTGGGTTTAAATTCAGTAAAACATAGTGCACATTTTTAGTCAGTAGGTTGTAAAAGAACAAATTGTAAAAACAACAACCAATACAGGTGCTAGAAGTTGAGGCAGCTAAAGAAAAAAAAAATCCCTTTTTAGTTACTTTTATGAATATTTTTTCTTCCAAATAATTGCAAATGAGTGTAAGATTCTGATTATGTTTTGTTGATTTAAATACAGTATAAAAAATAAAAAATGTAACTTTGCAGTCACACATTATATAAGAGAAATTACCATTCACAAAAGTTCAGATTATTGATGTGGATGTTACCTGTTATTTTTTCTAATACCTATTAACAATAATTTTAAAAAAAGAAAAGAAAAGAAAAAAGAGAGGAGGGCGTTTGTGTTTTGTTTTTACAGTGTAGCCTTACAGCAACTTTAGTTTATGTTACTCAAATGTAACTACTATAAATGAATACTTGAAGAAATGCAAAATTATAAATAAATGAGGTACACTAACATGTCTTTAAAAGGAGCACAGTTAGTCCACAGTTAACCTATTGTTTGCCAACTGAACGTAAAAAAAAAAAAACTAAAAACGCTCCAGTCCATAAAGCTTAACTTTTGTTTGTTTGGTTGTTTCTTCCTCCTCGTCCTCAGTTTGCTCCTGCAGCTGAACCGGCCCTGCTAGTTTCACTTCGCTGTGAGATCGGACGGAGTCAGTTCGTCAGTCAGTCAGTCAGTCAGTCAGTCAGCCTGTCGATCAGTTTGTCAGTCAGTCGGTGCACGATGAGCCTGAACGTCCCGGGGCTGGTGGTGCTGGTACTCTTCTACCTGATGGTGCTCGGTACCGGGCTGTGGGCCGCCGTCAAGTCCAAACGGGTGCAGAAAAGCAGCCAGGCGGACCGGACCGAGGTCACTCTGCTGGGCAACAGAGGGATCAGCCTGGCGGTGGGAGTCTTCACCATGACAGGTGAGTGTGCAAACAGACAGGTTAAAAACAAAAATCCAGCCATCATCTGGTTAAACAAGTTCAACCTGATAAAGACTTGATAAAGACTTGTGCGATTCAGTGATACAAAGTTTATCACCCCCATAACCTCTGTTGCTCTGCCCGCATCCTGCTGCACGGTGGGACTGTCATTAACGATGCAGAAGACCACCACTTGTTTAACGACTTTTTTTGGGTTTTTTTTTTTTGAAAGACTTCACCTTTGCAATCTTTTGCAAGCAGCTGCTCGTCCTTTGATGAATTGCTATTGGTTGGCATCCAGTCTGACTTGCCCCTGTTTGGTTGCATATCAGCGGCTGCAGCCATGCTTGCAGGGCGTTTATACTTCAGGGGGGAAGGAGGGCGGTAAACACTTAACAAACACTAAAAACAACTTCCTGCATTCTGCTCAATTTGATGCACCAAAATGTGCATTTTTCCCGTTATCCTACTATCATTTTCCACAGTAAATACGTTGTCTAGTCTTAATTTTAAATGAAATGTGCATTTTAATAGAGCTTTTGCCCTTAACAACATAGGTAAATAGTTAGATAACACTGTTTTCAATGGCAATATGTTTCTGTATTACTGTCATGCTGTGAAACACTTCACTACTGCCCAAGGCAAAGCTTCCCTTGTGGGCAAAAGAAAATTATGTTATCTCTCATTTAAGAATAAATCCATGTAAAACTTTTTGAAAAAAACAAAACAAAACAAACAAACAAAAAAAGTGCTTCTTTTTCTGCTAGTTGTTGCTGTCTGATTTGCCAAAACCTACTATTATAATGTTTAATTTAACAGTTTCATGTATTAGATATAAAGGAAATATTAGCAAATTGTTGTTTTTTTTAAATTACATTATATGGTTAGAAGGTTTTAGCTTTTCTGTTACGTTGCACGGGTAAATTCATGGCTCATTTTTGTAATTTCATTGATATTCTCATGGATTTTAAGAATGCAGTCAAAATCTGTTAAAGCATAGATAGTTTTTTTTCTGTTTTTTTTGTTTTTTTTTTAACAATACACACACAGGCATGATTTACGTGTCTGTCCTCTTTTTGGTACTTTGGACAAGAAACCTCTCTAAATGTGCATCTGTTCATGTCAATGACAAATGTATTCATTTTAATTAATTTATAAACCTGTGGATCACATCAGTAGCTCATACACCGATCAGCTCCAACTTTAAAGCTGCAGAGGTCCTTCTTGTGCCACCAAAACAGCTCTGATCCGTTGGGCCTTGGACACAGAACCGTCGTGGGTGTCCTGTGGTGTCCGGGACATTGGGAGTGGATCATCTGATTTGTGTTGTTCTTGCGCATCCTGCAGATGTTCGATTTGGTTGGGATGTGAGGAGTTTAGAGGTTGGGTTAATGCGCTGGGCTCTTTGTCGTGTTCCTCAAGCTGTTCCTGAGCAGTTTTTAGAGGAGGAGTTCTGATTCCATTGTCTGCAACAGGGTTTAGGTCGGTGGCAGCATCCACATCAGTGTCAGAACTCAAGGTTTCCCAATGGAGCATTTAATTGTAACAACATGATCAATGTCATTCACTTCACCTATCACAGGTTTTTATGTTGTGGCTCATTGTGTTGATGTTTCAGCAGGATTTCTGCTGTGGTTCAGGACTTTCTGCACACTCACAACACAACACACGCATGCAGTTGAAACCAGAAGTTTACATACACTGTATAAAAAGACACAAACCTTTTTTTTCTCACTGTCTGGCATTAAACTAAACTTGTCCTGTTTTAGGTCAGTTAGGATTACCAAAACTATTTCTATTTGCTGAACACTAGAATAATGAGAGAGAGAATTTTTTTACTACTTTCTTCAAAGTCAGAAGCTTACATACATTTCCTTGGTACTTGGTAGCATTGCCTTTAAACTGTATGACCTGGGTCAAACGTTTTAGGTATCCTTCCACAAACCTCTCACAATAGTTTGCTGAAATTCTACATGCCTTTTCAGTTCTGCCCACAAATTTTCTACAAGATTAAGATCAGGTCTTTGTGATAGCCACTCCAAAACATTGACTTTGTTCTCCTGAAGCCTCTTTGTACCTAATTTGGCGGTATGTTTAGGGTCATTGTCCATTTGAAGACCCATGTGTCCCCAAGCTTTAAATTCCTGGCTGATGTCTTGAGTTGTTGCTTCAATATTTCCACATAATGTTCTTTCCTCATGATGCCATCTATTTTGTGAAGTGCACCAGTCCCTCCTGCAGCAAAACACCCCACAACATGATGCTGCCACCCCCGTACTTCACAGCTGGGATGGTGTTCTCAGGCTTGCAAGCTTCCCTCTTTTTACTCCAAATGTAACGATGGTCATTATGGCCAAACAGGTCAATCTTAGTTTCATCAGACCACTGGACATATCTCCAGAAATTAAGGTCTTTGTCCCTGTGTACATTTACAAACTGTAATCTGCTCTCTTATATGTTGCTTTTGGAGTAATGTCTTCTTCCTCTCTGAGTATCCTTTCAGCCCATGTCGATACAGGACTGGTTTCACTGTGGATAATGACACTCTCTTACCAGCTTCAACAGCATCTTCACAAGGTCTTTTGCTTTTGTTCTGGGGTTGATATGTACATTTCACACCAAAACACTTCATCTCTGGGACACAGATCCCGTTTTCTTCATGAGCGGTATGATGGCTGGACACGCTGATCAAATCAGTAATAGAATTATGTCAACACCTCAAAATAATAAGGGAAAATTAAAAATGTAGACGTAAACTCCAATGTCATTCCTAAGTGGAATTAAATAACCAATTTTGCCAAAGTGACAACATGTGTTCTAATTATTTTTGCAAATTTAATGCAAACTATGCTCCTGCATGTCAGCCTCACTACATTGTGTGTGTTTGTGTGCAGCTACATTTGTTGGAGGCGGCTTCGTCGTGGGTCTGGCAGAGGCGGTGTACGATCCATCCATGGGACTGACGTGGGCCGTCATGCCAGCAACAGCAGCCGTGTCTTTCATTGTTGGTAAGACACTTTCACCTGCATCATGATGTCGGCATCATATGTGTAACTGTTGCGTCCACATTTTCTAACAGGCTCATCATGCTACAGAATATCATTATTTTGCTGCCCAGTCTCATGACATGCAGCTGCAATGTCATACTAACCTTCCTTATGATTCCACAAGTGGATAAAATGTATCTAGAATATCTCTTCTGTCTGGTTCAGGGTGTGTCATGGAAATAAAATCTTTAGCTGAAGTTTGGAAGCAGGCCCACGCATCAAACACTCCCTTTCTATCGTACATCTCTACATACCACTCTGCCCTTCCCATGTCCCTCGCTTCCTGTGCCCCAATCTCCCTCCTTTTACTTCTGCCTCCTCTTCCCCTCTTCTTGGGGGATCCATGTGACGGTTCGTGCTCAGTGACTGTGCGGGTGGACCCAAACGAAAAAGGGAGACGGGGAGAAGGGTTAAAGGAAACAGGATTTATTAGGGAAGGTGGTGGAGTGATGGGCACCAGGAGGCAGAAACAAAGTCCGGTGAAGGGGTGCCGGTCGTGGGGAATAACCCGGTGGTGGGATCTGGTGCAGAGATGTCAGTCGTGGAGAGGGAGGAGTGAAGTCTTCGGTGTCGTGATCCGAGGAAGGGGGGTCCCGAGGGTGGTGGACGAAGAGCCGGTGCCTGAGAGTGCCTTGGTCCGTGGGGTTTTTCCCGGTGCAGAGAGGGAGCCGTGAGAAACCGGGGTGGTGCGCAGGGGTCCAGTGCTCAGGGTTTGGTGCTCGTGGGGGGGTGCTCTCGTGAAGGATCTCCCGGTGAAGGTGTCCGTGGTCGTGAATTCCCGTGGGTGACAAACGCTGGAGTGCTTGGAGGTGTGCAGAGTGCTGGAGCCGAGGAGGGGAACTGGAAACAGGCAGAGAAACACATACCATAAACTAGAAGCTAGAGAACATCAAGAATGCTAGGAATGATCAGCGCGGTGTAGCAGCTCGTGGCCTGACTATACCACGAGGTAGGTATCACAATCCTCTGGCGTCGGCCTTCTGTGAGACGCCAGTATTGAAGCAGGGCACGGCTGATGAGCCGATGAGCCACAGCTGCCAGCATGCCCGTGTCTCTCCTGATCGGCTCCACCCAGCCTGCAGAGAACAGGGGCACACCCACCAAAACACAAAGACAGACAAAATCCCAAAAACACAGTGAACACAGTCTAGGACCCTCACAATCCGCTGGCCTCAGAGCCGCTGCTGATCCCTGACTAAGCCTTTCCCCAATGCTGCAACAGCTCAGCTCAGTCATCACCAATATAACACTCATTTGCATCCAATAAACAATCACACTTTAAGTTGATGGTGTGGTCCTTGCTAGTGAACTGCTAGATACAGTATGCTGTTGGGATTTTTTTACATTCCACACTGTGTGAAGAGACTTGTCACACCAGACAAGGTTTGTTCTTTACATGTGCCTGTCAACATGAAGGAGGAATTAGATATTATCACTTCAAATGTATGTACAATACATTACTTACAGATTTGACACACTGGGGTCTGATTACAGGTCAGGAATAAGAGCTGCTGCAAATGTAAAAAGATAAATGTGTGAAACCTTTACGTAAAGCTCCAGAGGGAGTTTAATTAATTATGTTCAATTAATATGATCAACTCTGAGTTCGAACTGCAGCTGAAGACTACAAGTTTGAGAATGAACAAAGACACATCCCCTCGATTGTAGCTGCCCATCATGAGTCTGACGGTGTCATTTATCTCTTTTAAACAGACACTCCCACGCATTGACACAAATGTCTCTCCTTTTGTGTATCTCAATTATCAAGGTGGACTTTTCTTTGCCAAAACAATGAGAGACAAAAAATATGTGACGATGATGGACCCGTTCCAGATCAAGTATGGAAACGTAATAAGTGGAATTCTGTCTGTGGCGTTACTCATATCTGACATCCTCTGGGTGACAGGAACTCTAATGGGCTTAGGTAAGTAACTTTTTAAAAAAAAACTATTTCCAGTTAAACTTTAGGGCTTCTCACTATTATTTGCCAACAAACAAGATCAAACAAGAGTCTCATGTCACTGTAATATTTTCAAGAAAATTAACTGGTGGGCTATAAAAATATGTTTTAACACTTGTATAATGAAACTGTATGTCAAGAATCATGTGAGGGGAGACTCTGGAGCTGTGAAACAATCCTCATCACCTTGTTTTATCCTTTATAGAAAATACTAAATGTGTCTTATTTTGTAGTAAATTATGTTGTGTTTCAGGTATTTTACATGCCAATTTTGCACACTGAGGCTAAGTTGTGAATATTAGACAAAAGCAATCAAGTGATGTATCAACAATTAATTTGATCAAAGTGTGCAGGCAGTATCACTGAAAACTAACTTAGCAACTTAGGGCTGGACAATACTGCAAAAATATTGTCCAACCCTAAAAAAATAAAATTTTTTTCACCAGATGACTTGAATAACTATATCTGGAAAGAATTAGTCACTCTAGAGTGATCACAACAATTTTGTAGGGGAGTGGATCTGATCAAAAAAAATTTTTTTTAATTACTGGGCGCCCCAGTAGTTTAACAGGTTGAGTGGGCGTCCCATAAGCAGAGGCTATAGTCCCTGACGCAGCGGCCATGACTACAAATCTGGTCCATGGCCATTTGCTGCAGGTCCTTTCCCCACTCTTATCCCCACTTCCCCGTCTGCCTCTTACACGTACCTGTCCTGTAAAGCAAAAAAATAATATTTAAAAAAAATACAAATAAGTTGTGTTGCCTCAGTGTCTCCATGAACCCTTAAATCCCAGTAAAATCTTCAATCTACTCAATCAGACAGACTTCTTTTGCAGATTAGTCACAGAAAATGAAAACTGTGAGAGGTTTCTTTTTGTATATGGCAGAAAAACAAGTTGTTCCATGACATGTCGGAGTTCATTTGCCTTACTTCTTGTGTTGATGTTGATCCTGAACCATTATGTTGTGCAGCCTTAGAGCAAATATTCTGAAACTGAATGAACATATCTCTAAATGCATGTGATTGTGTTCCTTTTGCAGGATCAACAATAAGCGTGATCCTGGATCTGTCCTATGGTCTTTGCATTTGGATCTCTGCTGTAGTCGCCATCATATACACACTAATGGGAGGCCTCTACTCTGTGGCCTACACGGATATAATACAGCTAAGCCTCATATTTTTCAGTTTGGTGAGTTCTTTATTAACAAAGGGAATCATTTTGATATTGTACCTATCTGCACTGTGCTCAAGAAAGTGTTTTCCTTTGAGGCATGAAACATCCTTTTGCTTATGAAAGGCTTAGAGCAGCTTCCTACTGGGCTGTTTTAATGTTGTTCATCACAGGAGCAAACCAGAGTGGATAAAATGTTCTGCTCTTTTATCAGGTAAATATGAGTGTTTTCAAAATCTTCTTGTCTGTTCTGCAGTGGCTCTGTGTCCCCTTTGTCCTGATGAACCCCCACTCAGCTGACATTACTGAGACTGCTTTCAACTTTACCTATCAGGCCCCTTGGATTGGTTCTGTGGATGAAGACAGAGCATGGAGGTGGATTGATAATTTCTTAATATTGGTAAGGGCATTGGCTAAGTTCATACTGATGTTTAGTTTTTTTTCATCTGCACATGCAGTCGCTCCTAAGCCCTGGAGGGACAGTCACAGATTGCACAAGTTTAAAAAACAGTAATTAAGTCTCTTTAGCTGCTAGTGAGCATGTTGGTTCACTGTCACATCTTAGTGGGACGCCTGAATAAAGTCCAGACATTGTATATGTCAAGTTACATATGTGAATTTTTAAAATCTGCTTTCAGTTTGCAGCAGTGAAGCAACTTTAGGGCTTGTGATAACATGTTTAGCAATAAATACCAAATAAAGTTTACCAAAATGACCAAAAAGGTTAATTATTTTACATTAATTTCAGATAACGAGTCAAGTATTAGTTAGCTTTGCTTTGACTACTAGTTTTATTTTGTGATGCTTGTCTTTAAGGTAACTTCCTGGGAAAAAAAAAGGTTCAAAATGTGAAATTCCTCAGTGATCCACTTTGTTTGCATATCAGTCAGTCTACAGTTTATTGTGTATTGAAGGTTTTTTGGTGCTTCATCACGTATTCTACTGATTCTGCAAATCTAAGTGAACAAACACAACTGCAAATTGATCAACATGTCACCAATTCAAAACTTAAAACATTGTGATCCTTGATATGAAGAGTAGTTCTGTGTTTTTTCTTTGTTCCAGTGCTTAGGTAACCTCGGATATCAGGACTTCCACCAGAGAACCCTGTCGGCCTCCTCATCAACTACAGCCATGATCACCTGCTTCATTGCAGCTCCCTTCGTCTTGGTCCTCGGCATCCCGTCTATTTTGATGGGAGCAGTCGCAGCATCAACAGGTACAGCAACACAGCAGAGTAGCTCAGAAGAAGTGTGAAAATGTGCTAATTCTTGTGTTTTGGCATCAGACTGGAACTCGACCTCATATGGCTCCCCGTCCCCGTTGGAGCGCGGAGAAATTTCCCATATTCTGCCAATTGTCCTGCAGTACCTCACTCCAAACTACATCTCCATCATTGGCATCGGCGCTGTAGCTGCCGCTGTGATGTCCTCAACAGACTCTGCTTTATTGTCTGCTGCCTCCATCTTCACTCGCAACATATACAAGAACATCCTCAGACCAAAGGTAAGAGGCAACCTAAAGGGAAGACTAGACTGACGGTTACTTTGTTTCAGCTTCCAGATGTGTGTTGTTCTCCTTGCAGGCATCAGACAGGGAGTTCCAGTGGGTGATCCGCCTCACCGTGGTGTTGGTGGGCGTGGTCGGGACATCACTAACCTTCCTGAGCAACAGCATCATGCTCCTCTGGATCCTGGGCTCAGACATAACCTACACCATCATGTTCCCTCAACTAGTCTGCATCCTCTTCTTTAATGTCTCCAATGGCTACGGCGCCGTCATGGGTTTGCTGGTCGGGCTGCTGTTGAGAGTGCTGTGCGGCGAGCCTTCCATCGGGCTGCCTGTTGTCCTCCACCTGCCAGGTTGCACTCTGGAAGATGGCGTGTATGTCCAGCACTCTCCAGTAAGGACAATCTGCATGCTGTCTACTGTCATCTCCACTTTGTTGTTCTCCTATGTGGTCTCAGTGCTCTTTACAAATGGACTGATTCCAGAGAGGTGGGACGTACTCAAAGTGAAAACCCAGAAACCCTCAGAGACACTGACATTAAACAGCAACGGCACAGGAGAGGGGGACAAGTCTGAAGTTCACCAAGAATTAATGTTGAACACTAATCAGCTGTAATGTTGAGAAGTGATTTTAATGGGATTCACATGTGTTTTGTGCAATACTATATCATTATGTCTCTGTTTTTATACCAAGTACTTAGGGACAGGGTAATCCTGGCTGTGGGATGTAATTAATTTGTAATTTCTTTAGGTAAATATTGCTGCGGTTTCATTGACTGGCTGTATTTACTAGTGAGGGATTCTGGTGTAGTTTTATATCAATAGAAGCTCAAAGAACCCAGAAAGTAAGTAAACTGGGTCTATAAACATCCATCCATATATAGTATTGAGTAACAGTTACACACTTTTAGATAGCAGTTTTCATACACATAGAATGTGACAAAGTGCTTTTAAGAAGAAAAAGAAAAAATATAAAAACAGTACCCCCAATAAACCCAATAAACCACCTCTAGAAGACTACCAGGGATCTGATAAATAGGTAGCACCAAGACCATAAAGGTTTACATAAACACATCTTCAAATTAATTCTAATGTGCTCTCGTGCAACACGGGCAGTGACGTTTTAAAGCAGTTGTCCTGCTGGAATAAAGATAAGCAGCAGTGGCTCTGTATTGGCCTAAGAAAAAAACGGTAACACTCTTATCATTTAAATATTTTTTTAAATGAAAAAGTACATTCTTAGCCATGTTTCAAAGGCTCAAAAGATGACGCCAAGGTTTTACACTTACGACGTTTGTATTTAAGTCTCATACCAGCAAAAAACACAAAAATAAATACATACATCTGTAGTCTGCCTTTACCATATAAAAGAAGAAAAGTTATTACATAGTAATAAACAGTAAAGACATAGTAACTAAAAAATGACAATGTGTTAGTCAGCAAAATGAAACAAAAGTGAAGGACATAAGAAAAATAGTAAACAAGAAGGTTCATGTTTAGAAATAAAATCTTTTTTGCCATTAATACCTACAAGTTTTGCATTCTCACCTTTTTCACTCCTTAATGATGACAATTTTTTCCTCTGTTTGTTTTTTATTATATCTTGTTGCTATGACACAGCCTTGTGGACTAGTCACATTGCATTTCACTGCCTGTACTGTATGAGCATATGACAAGTAAAAACTCATGAGTTCTACAGTGTTTTATATTTCCAGCAAGATTTTTAACACATTTACAAATTCCAATTATTTGTATTTTTTGAGCAATAACATCAGTGTCATGCCACTGCTTACAGTTAAACATTGATTTTGTCTCTTTGAGTTTAGGTACTAATGACTTTCATCAATCAATAGTGATCATAATGACCTCTAATAATTACTGGAACCCACAGTAAAGGTAGCCTATCTTGAAGATACTGAAGGACACCTATATTGTAGGTTGTTTATCTAGCAACTGAATTCTCTTGGGAGATAAATGTACAATTGATTTTAGGCCTTTTTCTGTTTTGGTGGCATCCTTGCATTCCACTTAACATAGATCAGTCAAAGAAAAATGGACAAATTTGACTGTAAAATGAAAAAAATGTAGCTCCTAACACACTGTAAAATTACATTTTTAACTCATCTGTTTTGAATAGTTTACGGGTATTTTACAATAAAGTAAAACATAGCAAATTTGCAGTGAAGAATTATTCATTTACATGTTAAACCCAAAAACATAAATTGTTTTGTAAGACTTGACAGTATAATTATGCTATTTTTGCTGTATTCAAATTAGCAAATGTACCATTATTTTACAGATACTTGCCTTAGTTGAAGGTAAAATGTGTATATAAAAAGTTTAATCAGATTTACAGATTTTTTCCTGTTTTGCCATATTACAGAAAATATGAGTAAGTTACATGTTAACTGTGAAAACAATATTTTAGAATGTGTAGCCATAAAATTATACTGTTTTGTTGATGTTGTACTTTAAAAAAAAAAAAAAGGAACATCTTTATAATGTGCTTAGATAATAACACATTTTACTATAATACATATTGTGTATTTATGCCTATGACTTTGTTAATGTTAACGGATACATGTAAACAAACAAACAAAAAACATATTCTGATGTTGCGGTAGTTCCTGCTCGGGCCTGGTGGCGGCAGTAACGCTGCCTGCAGATGAAGGTTTTACCACCAAACAAGAAAACCAGGAAGCGCCTGCAACAAACAGCAAGATGATTGTCAAGAAGTGCGGTCCTTATCTGCATATTATCTCTTTACTGGCATAAGGTGAGAGGATGCGTAAAAAGTTTTCCGTCACATTTTATTATACCAAACGTTGAAATGTATGGACTCCCTGAAATGAACTATACGAAAGTCGCGTCGTGTGTGAGAGACGAAGTTAGCTTGTTGACGCTGCTAGCTCGCTTAGCTTTAGCACCAGACGTTTAGAGTTTTACTACAGAACAGAACAACCGCTAAAGTCCGTTAACGAGTTTGGAGTCGATGCTCGACTTGACTTTCACGCAGTTCAATGAGCTAATGTTTACCAGGACTCCAAATACAGACCGAAAACTGTATTTGTTTGGTCAAAGATGGCTTGAGGTGGTCGCTCATGTGCAAAACCACAACCATGTTTAAAATAGTTTATACCAATACACTGAGTGTAGTGACTGTCACGCTTTCCATAGACCGTGCATTTGATTTATTAAACTCAGACAATAGCGAAGTGCTCCTGCTTTTATTTCCCATTAAAACAAACAAACAAAAACCGTTACATGTCAGTGTAGAGCGGATATTTCTTAGTTACTTGTGAGATCTCATGAGTCCATAACTGAAGAGGTTCGGTACTATTTCAGACGGTTGTTCTTCTCCATGGTTTATAATGACAGGAGCTGAGAAATCCCAGGTGAATCATTATTATGCAGCTGATTCTTGGGTGAAAGACTAGAACTGTGTTGTCCGACGTTATCCATTCAGACTACAATGAGGGAGCAGTAGTATGGCTGAACAATTAATTGATTTGAAACAGTGCAATTAGCAAGGAGGCTGCAATGTCTAAGGAACAATATCACGAACATGAAACACCAAAGTATGCGCTGCTTTGGCAATGATAACAGGCAGATTGACAGTCGGATCACAGACCAGCAATCAGAGGCCAGTAATGAGTCACACATCTGCCATGCACAGAGTTAATGAGGTTGTTGAGGCTGGTTTGTACAACGTTGTGCCATTGTTCCTTTTAGTGGCCTTTTATAGTCCGTTAAAAAGGAGGGTCTGGGTACTGATCACTGTCTGATCAAACAGAGTGTGTAATAACTGAATTGTGAAGAATTTAAGGTCATCTTTATTAGAGTTTATCACCAGTTGAACATCTCAAAAACCTAAAATTTTTATTTTTTTTTTAAATCACGCTTTTCAACCACAACAAGAGAAATGAGATTTCAACTTTTTCTCTTAGTCTGAAAACAGTGCTGCACTTCTATTTTTGTTTAGTGTAAAATCTAACTTGCTTTTTGCAGCATTTCTGACTCAGTTTTTAAGGGTTTTACAAATTCATGCTGTCCTTCTGGTGTGTCAGTCACACTTTTGATTATATGTCATGTGGAAATGCTCCACCACAAATTTTAAATCTATTTTGCAGAGAATACCGAACTGAAGCATGACTTAGATAATTGTATTGCAGCTATCTGATGATCACAATTCGATATTTTCCTCAAGTCATAAGCCTTAAATAGTAGTGTGAAGGAGTTTATATCAATTTATACTTCCAAACTTCCAAACAGTTGGTTCAGATCTTTTAGTTTTACCTTCTGAAGTGTTTGATATGGAGAATTAGTCTTCCTCACACCTGATTCATTTTAAAGGGTACTTCAACAATTAAGTTTTGGATTTACAGGAGACAGATGCTGACAATTTATTTTACACTCAAAATATGAGTCAAGCGACAAAATAGCTGGATTCAACTTTTCCTATCATCTTGTTAGACCTTCCATATTTTTCCAACTTAACACCTCAGTTTGCAGCTTTGGCTTTTTAGTAAGCCTCATATACTTATAAATTCCCTCTGAGCATACACAATTAATTCTTAACCAATTCATTAACACAGAGATTCTTCTCTTAACAGTTAACCAGCTCCACTGCAGAAATGGAGGCTGCAGGAACTAATAGTAGTCTGGACGTACAGGGAGCAACAGCAGCAGCAGCAGCAGCAGCAGAGCCAAGCCTTCCTGGACACCAACAGGCTCCTGCAAAGCCGGTTTGGACTTTGTTAGAGGAAGCAGCCCAAATGAAAACAGAGGGAAATGCGTTCTACAGGGAGAAGAACATTCGCTCAGCCATCGGTCGTTACCACCGCGCTCTGCTGGTCCTCCGGAGCCTCGACTCTGATGTGATGAAATCCGTGAAAGGGTTTGGACCTGAGAGACCTGCACTCACACCGGAACAGGAGGCTGTACTGAGAAGCACACAAGTGGACTGTTACAACAACCTAGCTGGTACATAATAATTAAGAAAAACTGTGAAAATACTGTTAGTAGACCTATATTCGTCTCATTTTCTGTAAAACTTCAAAGTAGAAGATCTTGTCGATGCTAATTCTCTATGAGTTCCTTAGTATAATCATTTAAAAGTGAACATTACCAACAGAGTCTGTGGTTTGGCAGTGCTCTTATATGTATTTAAATGTGAATATATTATTTAAATTTATTTAAAAATAGCATGTACAGCTCAGACATAAATATAAATTATATAAAAATTATAACTTCAAGCTAACTTGCCATTTTAACGTGTAATTTCTGTGTATATCTTTCAGCCTGTTTGCTGCAGAGACAGAATGTTGATTACGCTCGTGTGCGGGAGTACAGTCTACTCGTGCTGCAGTGGCGACCGGGTGATGTCAAAGCACTGTACAGGGCAGGAGTAGCCACTCTGGAGATGGGAGATGCACAGACAGCCAAACAGTACCTCGCCCAGGCCTCCAGAGAGCAGCCTAATGGTAAGAACCGAGCCAGGGCAGCATGAGCATCTACTGCAGGTTTTCCAAAAGTTTTTTGCTCAGGGCTCAGTCTTGTCTACGCTGGTCCGGTAGCAAAAGCAGCACATAGACAGCTTCAGTCTTCTGTCAGTGTCTACACAGGGTTCCTTCAGCTGCAGAATCATTTTTGGCTGCACACACAGCTCAATATAAATGAGATGAAGTTAAACATGTAACTGTGAGGAAAATCGACTCAAGGCTTCCATCAAGACAGGGTGCGTTAGGTGCGAAAGAAGTGTTCTGACTAAACTGGATGCACATCTTTTATGACAGACACACATGACACAGACCATCTTACAATGTGGCTGAAAAGAGTCCAGTGTAAAGAGCCTGTTATATTTTCAAATGTCATTGTAGATGGATATTTATATCAAATGGCTAAATAGTACCTCATAGTTATTTGTAAACATTTGAAAATTAATGCATACAACTGTTTGTAGTGGTTCAGTTTTATATTTAATACCCGTTTAATATATTAACAGATCATAAGAGAAGAAAAATCTTTTGCAAGATGCTTTTGTATTTGAAATGTAATCCACTAACAAATGCAGCATAATGTATTTATCAACTTAAAGTAATAGTTTTTTAACTATGCTATTCCCTTTCTTCTCAGCTGATAACTCAAGTTTCTCCAGTCTCATTAAGTCATTACGTTGCAGCCACTTAGCATAAAGGCTTCAAATGGGAAAACTGCAAGCATGAATTTGTTTAAACTTAACAAATCTGCCCTCTAAAGCACACTGATTAACATGTTTTGTCTTGTCACCAAAAAAAAAAGCCCAAAAGAGATACAGCTTCTATTATGTCCTCTGTTAAGTCTTTCAGATAAAATTGCTGACACTCTGTGCTCTGATTTCATGGACCAATTTAGCTGTCAGTTTAATTTTTTAGGACTAAGTGTATGATTTTTCCTTTGCACCTTGCTGACAGTCTTCTAAATTGCATGCAGTGTTTCTGTGATAATTTGACAAATTCTCCTCTAGCCCTCTCCTGCATATTTGAATACTAGTGGTGTACAGTATGCCCCTTGAAAATAAACCTTCTTAATTTGTCTATCCAGATGCCAATGTGAAGAGGCACCTGCAGAGGGCTGAGGAGAAACTGAAGCGAGAGTTACAAAAAGAGAAAGCCATGTATCGAGGCATGTTTTCCTCCGGCCTGAAGGATGACTCAGAAGAAGGGATTAACCAAACCAACGGAGTCGGTGAGGGACTTTAACCTGCCAAAAAAAGCCTCAGCCGGAGAGACTGTCCAACCTCAGCTTATCACAAACCAACTGAAGAATGTTCACACGTCTTGAATCGCTAATGGTACCGTTTCTCTATTAAGTGTTTGAGGTACATTACACAGAATACTGGAAAGCAGTCAGTGGGAAAGTAAAGATGTTACTGCTGAAAATAGAAAGCTGAAGACAGAAAAGTTAGTTTCCTAGCAACACAGAAACGAAAGAAAATCCAGTATAGTTCACAAAAATGCTTCTGAAAGATAAAGAGAGACTCTTTATGCACTATTCAAATGCCTCCTTGATTGCAGTTTTCTGGTCAGTGATGTGAATGTTGATTTCTTTTTCTCTCTCTCTTTTTTTTGTTTATTTTTTGAGTTTTCAAGTAAAATATTTTTTGAATAATAATAACAACGCCTGGTCTTTTTTTTTAAATTTCCTTTGGCTGAAAAAATAAAAATAAAGAATTAATTAACGCAGGTATTTCAGGCACAATTTAGTTATCAGTTTCTTTTATTAGTTATAAGCCATGAGAAGCCACAAATTTTTCTCAAATAATTCATCAGTATTTTAATCATTCAATATTTATTTCAAAATCCTGAGCAAAATATCAAGTTAAAGAGTATTTGCTTGGTTTTGGTCATTATTTGGCCAATATGATTGTACTTCAGAGGCAATATTACCTATAATCAAAGAGGAATATCACATTCTCACAATAGCTATAATCACTGAACAAGTCACAGAGCAGCATGCAAAAGGGGAGTGTGCACATACACATCCATACTCATGGTTAAAGGAGGGCTGAACTATTTCGTAATGAAGCTTCTTACAGTCAATACTATAAGTTAGTTTTAAGTATTTTCAAATTGTGATACTTTTCTCCCATGAAAGGATCCCAGAATAATTTTAATGTTGAGTTGACAGATCCTTTAAAACAGCATTCACACAAAGAAAAACTCCACTCAAACCAATACTAAGGACGATTTTAAAGGACTGTAGTTCCTTGCAGTTCCTCAAAGGAATTTTTCAACCCTAAATAAACTGGTCACTTACAGCTGGGTGACAGATTAAAGGAAAAGCCAACATAAAGTGTCTTAGTAAGGTGTTGAGTCATCACTTGCCACCAGAATAATTTCAGTGCTCCTCGGCATTGGTTCTCTAAGCCCTGGAACTCTGCTGGAGGGATGAACAGCGTTCGTCAAAAATATATTCCCTCATTTGTCCAAAATATCCTCTAGCTGTTCAGTTGGATTGGGATCTGGTGACTGGAAAGGCCATACCTCATGATTCACATCATCTTTATCAAACTATTCAGTGACCCCTAATGCCTTATTATATATATGGGGACCCTGTCATCCTACATGAGACCAATCCCACCATAGGATAAAGGTGATCACTCAGAGCAACTTTATATTGATTTGCAGTGATCACTTCCTCTCAGGAGACAAGTAAACAAAAACCATGGCAGCAAAATGCTCCCCAAAGCATAACAAAGCCACTAGATCACCTCACTGAAAGGCCAAAAGGTTTAGGTTTTTCCTTTAATGTGTCATCCATCTGTAAATTTCCTTTACTCACATTTCTCTGTGGGTTGTGCTGCATCCTACAGCATTCTTGCTTGCTACCGTAGGGCGCACAGTTTACAATACATGGTTTTCCACAAAGCTTCAAAGCACTCCAGCAGAACATGTTTAGAGGAATTTGACAGGCATTTTTGTAGTTTTTTTAGGAGCTTATAAAAAGTAGCTTGTCTTTCAAATTTTACAAAACCATTACTTGAATGAATGAATGACATATTCTATGAACAAAATTAATAGCAGGTGTTACAGACTTTATGTGCCTGAGAGGAACTTTCATCATGGTGCTGATGAATGAAATCCTGATGGATATCTTATGGCCAGTTTTATAGAGGCAGTGTAACTATCTGATCAGTCATAAAACTTTGAAGACTGAAAAGTCCAAAATGATGGCACTTCCTTTTACATCAAATATAATACTAAACATCACTGGTGTTTTAAATGTAACACATGGAAGATGCATCTACTTTGATGTTCATTTATTGTACAAGTGTCACTTCTTTGATGGCTTCCGTTTGAGACTCAGGGACCTCATGGAGCCAAACACTTTCCTCCCCAAATCCCTCAGTGATCGGGAGCGCTGGAGGGGCATCCGTGGAGGAGGGGAAGGAGAAAATGAAGGGGAAGAGAGAGGGGAGAGTGAATGGCAGCTGCCTTCGAGGCTCTGAGAACGAGAGAGGTTAAAGAGGCTGGCGGTGGAGGACAGCCGTTTGTCCTCTCCCTTTGCTCTCAGAAGTCTTACGCCTTCATCTCTGCTCATCCCCAGGCCCCCTTGCCCCACATCCAAGGAGGAAACCCAGTGCGCCCGCTTTGTTGGCTCCTCACTGTGGTTACGAGGCACCAGCAAGCCCTGGGACTCACTCCTGAACAGAGCCCTTCTGGAAAGCCTGAGGCTGGAGCTGCGTCTTTCCCCATCCTCCTTCCCCCTCCTCTTTGAGAAGATGGGGGAGTTATCCACTTTTGGCCTCTTGTCACCACCGCTGGATGAAGCCTTCGCCCTTCGGTGCTCCCTCCTCCAGCTTCCAACGCTGTTCCTCCTCCAGCCATAGCCGTACTCAGCTCTGTCCATCTCCTCCTTTTCGCTTTCAGACTCTTTGCCCCAGAGACGTCCCTCAAAACCCCTCCAGAGTTTACTGGAGGACTTCTTCGCTGTCTGAGCTGCCATTTGTAACTTCTCCTCATTCTCCCCCCAAACTGAGCTGTAGTCCTCTCTCTTGACATAGCTGCTCACTGTGGCAGCCCTGATCAACTTATGAGAGGCATGCTTCCCCCTGTAGAGCCCATCTCCCTCACCCCTCTTCCACTTGCTACTACCTTCATTTCCTCCCCCACTCTGCCGAAGGGATCCACCTCTTGGATGGATGCCGCCATGCTCAAAAGGAGAGGGTCTGGTAATGGTGCGGGGCAGGGAGCACTGGAAGGGCGCATCCCGACGGAAAACCGAGAGGGGGGTAGCACCCAGGGGGGATGGCTGGAGAGGGCGTGGTGGGGAGCGACCCCTTGGTGTAGGGCGGGAGGCAGGAGAGGAAGCCGTGGATGAGGGAAGGTCAGATGGGGAAGGAATTTGCTGGTAGTGGCAGTGTGATGAGTAGTGGGGAGAGGGAATGTGGATGGACTGGTAGGGGTGTATGGGGCTGCTGGAGTGTGAGCGAGGAGGGGTGAGGCTGGACTGAGACTGTGGAGAATGGGTGACACTAAGAGAGAGCTGTATTGGTCTCTGGGGATTCAGGTCCGTCAGTCTGGTATAGTCAAGTGACTGATCTGCCTGGGCTGTCAAGTGAGTTTTACTGTGACCCCTCACCTCGCCTGTAGTATCTGTTTGGAAGCAGTCAATATCCAGCTCCACACCTTGTTCCATTAGTCCTACCACAACAGCTCTAGACAGCCCAGAGAGGCGGGAGATTTCCCCCACCATGGGGGAGTCTTCACTTAATTTGGGACTAGAGCTGGACTCTTGGATTAAGCTGCTGCGCTGAGACCCAGGAGCTGATCCAGCATTTGTCCCAAACACTGATTGTCCAGTCTCAGATGGCGCACCGCAGCTCCAGTCTAATGAGCGACAGAAGGCAGATGATCCAAACCCAGAACTGGTCCCAGACCCTGAAGGGACCTCCAGGGAACTGCGGTGGCTCAGGCTGCTTGGGCAAGTTGAAATGCGAGGACGTGATCTCATTGCTGGGGTTGGTGTAGCAGAAGAAAGTGATGAGGCAGAGGCAGTAGAAGTTGTAGGAAAATCAGCCCTCAAAGCTCCACAACTGCCATTTTTGGAATTGTCCACCAGACCCCGTCCAGAGTTTAAACCAGGAGTCAGGTTCAAATTGAGGTTAAGATGCAGATTTATGTTCAAGTCCTCTCCAGTTGCTGATGGAAGGTTACCCAGGTTGATTGAATTCCTGGTGCCCTTTTTCCCAGTGGTGCTGAGGCTAACTCTGGCGGAGTTCCCCAGCAGTGACTTACAGGGTGTGATGCTGCCTGGTGGCAGGGTGGAAGGTGTACTGCGGCTCTCAAAGGCAGAAAGTGACTGGGTGGAACCATGACTTTTGCCAGGGGTACAAAGGCCTCTGCGTGTAAATGGACCAGGGGTGGCAGCTAAAGTGAGATCAGAGGTGGAGGAGGTTGTCCGAGTGTGGTACTGGCGAGCCAACCGAGATATGTACTGCTCCAGCTGGGTGAAGGAGGCAGGTGTTGGGGGCTGCTGAGGCTGGAGAGACAGAGCTGCATCAGTGTTCTGTGACTCTGTCGATTCATCATGCTGGGGTCCTTCAGGGCTTGCTGAGGCTGACTGCTCCTGGCTCTGGGAGGTGAAGAGGGGGCTCTGGAGGGCAACAGCATGCAATGGGCTTGGGTAGGAGTACACCTCTTTGGTCCGACGAGACACCAGGTCTGTGCAGTAGCGAGGGTCCAGCTGGGGTTTTGGATGAAGGGATGAAGTAGAGGAGGGGGGGGCAGGGTTGAGAAGTGGTAGGAGAGAAGAAATCAGGGAGTCACCCAGCCCTGAGCAAAGGTCTGACAGAAAACTCAGCCCAGTTGCTTCAAGGTCACTTGGGACTGTAGGAGACAAGAGAAGAATTTCAGACCAAATTACCAAAATTAAGATCATGATTATGGTTAACATTTCTAACTGCATCTGTACCAAATGTTCATGGTCAGAATGTTATTTTTACCTATCTTTATTCAACCCTTTTGAACCATCTTAAAGCGAGCACTGAAAAACATAGATGGATTTATACCAGCTCACCTGAAACTGGTGTCTCTTCTGCTGGTTCAGCGTCCTCCTGGCTGTTCTGTAGTGCAGGTTGCTGCAGCTGCACTGCACCTTCTGACCACAGGATGTCAGTGTTGTCCACCGACGGAGGAACCTGCTCCCACAGCTTCAGGGGTCTGGCCGGTGGCCCTGATCCTCCATGCGCCGCCTCACTGGACACAGAGTAACAAGAGTCTGACAGAGAGCTCCCGCTCACTGAATAAAAGCCTGGACAAGAGAGAAAAAAAATCAGGATACACGTGAGTCATAAAAGCAGCAAGCAAGTTTTCTATAATGCCCAGAGGTGCTAATGATTTAGGCTTGGGAATAAAGCAAACGAGAGTCGTGACTCTTCTCAGAATTCTCTGTTTTAAATATTGCTCTTACCCCTGGGCCTACTCCTACTTTTTTGCCTTTACTGACTTTTATTTTTCATCTCTTGTGGCCTGCTTACAAAAGCATATCTCCCTATGTCACTACTTGTGAAAGCTGATTTTAAAAAATGGTAAAAGAGAGGAAGAAGAAGAAGAAAAAACAATAGAAATGACTGTCATTAGTGCTGCTCCTTTGTATTCAGGTCTGCTCCT